CGATCTGCCGACAAACAGCTGATCGGCAGATCGGGGCAGCCATTTAAATTTAAATGAAGCCGCGATTATTTTAATCGCGGCTTCATTTCCCTCTTCCAATCTGGCTAATCTACATGCCTCCGTCGAAGGAGGCATGTAGTCTAGACATACCCTAGTTTGAACTAGGGTGGTAGTGTAGACATACCCTATGTGTTTCTCTATCTCTGTGGGTGTGGGTGTCTGTGTCTGTGTGGGTAGGTGTTGTGTCTTTGTGCCTGTGGTGTATCTCTCTGTGTGTCTGTGGGTGTGAGTGTTTGTGTCTCTGTGTGCGGGTGTGCCTGTCTCTGTGGGTGTCTGTGTGTCTGTGTCTCTATGCCTTTGGTGGTGTGCGTGCCTGTGTCTCTGTGTGTCTGTGTCTCTGTGGGTGGGTGTCTGTGTCTTTTTTTTGGGGGGGTCTGTTTTGTGTGCCTGTGTCTGTGTCTCTGGGGGGGTTGTCTGTGTCTCTTGGGGAGGGGTCTGTGTTTCTAGGTGGGGTCTGTTTTTGTGTGCCTGTCTCTGTGTGTCTGTGTCTCTATGCCTGTGGTGGTGTGCGTGCCTGTGTTTGTGTGGGGGTCTGTTTTGTGTGCCTGTGTCTGTGTCTCTGGGGGGGTTGTCTGTGTCTCTTGGGGGAGGGAGTCTGGTTTTGTGTGCCTGTGTCTGTGTGTGTGTGTGTCTCTGTGGGGGGGTGCACGCACACTAGAAATGGCAGAGGGCCAGGCCGAGACCCTGCGCCTCAGCAGAGGAGCTGTGGTGATGGGTCGCACTGAGAAGCTCCGGGAAGCAGCCCTTAGCCCAGGCTGTGCTGCTGAGCTCACCCCTGGAGGCTGCTTCTGGGGGGTGCCAGCCAGCTGAGCGAGGGTGTGGGAATGGTGTCTCTGTGGGGGGGTGCACGCACACTAGAAATGGCAGAGGGCCAGGCCGAGACCCTGCGCCTCAGCAGAGGAGCTGTGGTGATGGGTCGCACTGAGAAGCTCCGGGAAGCAGCCCTTAGCCCAGGCTGTGCTGCTGAGCTCACCCCTGGAGGCTGCTTCTGGGGGGTGCCAGCCAGCTGAGCGAGGGTGTGGGAATGACGCTCCGCTGGGCCGCAGCACTGGCAGAACTCACTTCCCTGCCTGCGCGTGGGCACTGCCGGCCTGAGGTGCCCAGTCCCTGGGAAGTCAGGGCCCATGCTGGCACACAGCAGGCACCTGGCGCCTCTGCCGACGGTGCCCATGAGAGACAGCTCGCTCCGTGTGCCGGGCAAGTTGCACACTCACAGTGCACGCGCGGCTCCAGACACTGCAGACGCTGGGCGACTGGTGCCAGGGTCCCCAGGGGCCTTTCTTTGACACGCTTATTTGGGAGCCAGGCTAAGGCTCCCATGGCGGAGTGCGGGTGCTCACAGCTGTAACCCAGGAGCCTTTGCAGCAAGGGGGCTCCTTCCAGCTCCCTGTAAGGGACCCCCCAGAACCAAGCAGGAGGAACCGGTGGCCTGTTTGCCTCTTGTGCCTCGCGACTCAAGCCCCCTTCCCTGGGTGGATAAGTCCTGGGATGCTGCTGCCCGGCGGGGAGCAACCGCCCAGCAGCAGGGACTGGACGCAGCAGGTTGGGAAGCCGGCTTGCTGGGATAGGTGCAGGGTGCCCTCTGCTGGGCACCCGGTTAAGGGACTTGTCCATGCTCCGGCTATTCTGGCTTCCCTGGATGAGGACGTTGGGCTTGGGCCTGAGGGCGGTCGAGTCTGCGCTGCTCTGGCTGGAGCTTCTCCTGCCGGGCGCTGCTGCGTTTTAGCAACCCGGCTCTGTTTGTTCCTCACGCTTTCCCTCTGCTCTCAGTTCCGCCCCGGTTAGTGACGCACCCTCGGGACCAGATCGTGGCTCAGGGCCGCACTGTGACCTTTCACTGTGAAACCAAAGGAAACCCGCCGCCGGCTGTGTTCTGGCAGAAGGAGGGCAGCCAGGTAGGCTCTGCATGCCCCCTTCCCCCCGGCATGTGCCAAGAGCCCTTTCCCACACCCCAAAGCCCCTGGCCGCACCCCCAGCCAGAGCCCACACCCCGTACCCTGCCCCAGCTCAGTGCGAGCGGGGGGAGGCAGGGGTGGAGCGAGCGGGGTGGCATGGGGGGGTAGGGTGCTCTGTTTTGGACAGCTGACATCCCTAACCCCCTCTGTCTTCCCCTGGCTCTGGCGGGGTGGAGAGTCAGGCTCCCTTGTGTCCGCCCTGCAGATCCTGTTGTTCCCCAGCCAGCCCCCGCAGCCCCTGGGGCGCCGGCGAGATGACCATCACGGAGGTGCAGAGGGCAGATTCAGGCTACTACATGTGCCAGGCCATCAGCGTGGCCGGGAGCATCCTGGCCAAAGCCCTGCTGGAGGTGGAGGATGGTGAGCGTGAAGGTCCAGCCAGGCCCTTATGGCACTAACGACTCGCTGGAGTTGTGTGTCGGCGCGTGGCCAACCTGCCTCATGGAGAAGGGCGGGGAGTCCTGGGGTGAGGGGCGGGTGGGAGGATGGCAGAGCGTGGTGGGGGGAGGGGTGAAGCACTAGGACGGGTTCCCTAGGGAGGGGCTGGAATCTCCATCCCTGGAGGTTTTAAGTCCCAGCTTGACAAAGCCCTGGCTGGGATGACCGAGTGGGGCTGGTCCTGCTTCGGGCGGGGGCTGGACTTGACGGCCCTTCCTCACCCTCGTGTCCCGCCCCAACACCAAGTGGCAGGACTAGCTAAGACCTGTAGAGGCTGAGGGACCCCGATGGGCTTTATTCCACCTTAATCCCACGGCCCATTGGGGACATCAGTTGGTGGCTCCTTCATGGAGCCGTGAGCACGGGCGTGTACCTGGCGCGGTTCACCCCCATCCCAGATGCCTGCCCCTTTCGCGGCATGAGGGAAAACCTGGTGCACACGTATCTGGAATGCGCTAGGTTGCAGCCCCTATTCCAAAAGAGCTTAAGAACGGCCGTACCGAGTCAGACCAAAGGTCCAGCTAGCCCAGTAGCCTGTCTGCCAACAGTGACCATCACCAGGTATCCCGGAGGGGATGGACCGAAGACAATGACCAAGCCATTTGTCTCGTGCCATCCATCTCCAGCCTCTGACAAACAGAAGCCAGGGACACCATTCTTACCCCCTGGCTAATAGCCTTTTATGGACCTAACCTCCATGAAATTATCTAGCTTCTCTTTAAACTCTGTGATAGTCCTAGCCTTCACAGCCTCCTCTGGCAAGGAGTTCCACAGGTTGACTACACGCTGTGTGAAGAAGAACTTTCTGTTATTAGTTTTAAACCTGCTACCTATTAATTTCCTTTAGTTCTTATATTATGGGAACTAATAAATAACTTTTCTTTATTCACCCTCTCCACACCACTCATGATTTTAAGACCTCTATCATATCCCCCCTCAGTCTCCTCTTTTCTAAACTGAAAAGTCCCAGTCGCTTTAGCCTCTCTCCAAATGGGACCCGTTCCAAACCCCTAATTCCAGCTCCTTCAGAACCTCCTATTGAGTTCTGCCTGCACTTTTCCTCTCACCTTTTTATTTATGTGCACCCCATCCGTGGCCCCTCAAAGTCACGGGATCACCTCGTCAGCCTCCTCCTGGCCATGGCGAAAACTGCCATATACAGCACCAGGAGGAGGAGGCTGCATGGGGGGGGGCTCTGCAACTGTGGGGCCTCCTTCCGTTCCTCCCTGGTCTCACGCGTCCACTGGCTCCCTGGAACAGCTTCGCAGAGCAGTGGGCGCTCTGGGGTTCTCTGCTCGGTGTCCCAAACCAGCTCCCTCGTTTTAACCCTTTGACCCGCACACCTTGACCCTGGTTTTCATTAGTGGTCCCCTGGAATGAGTTGGGCCCTTGGTCCAGTCGTCACTCGCAAGACTCGGGGAGGGGCTTTCAGAAGTGGATTCAAATGGTGACTCCTGAGGTCTCTTCCAGCCCTAGGAGTCTATGGCTTTCTGACCTTCAGGGGTGTCATGGTGCTGCTCACAGGAGGGGTCTCGGGGTGTGGGTGTGTCACGGCGCTGCCCATGGGAGGGACCTCGGGGGGGTGTCACGGCGCTGCCCATGGGAGGGACCTCGGGGGGGTGTCTCGGCGCTACCCACGGGAGGGACCTCGGGGAGTGTCACGGCGCTACCCACGGGAGGGACCTCGGGGGGGTGTCTCGGCGCTACCCACGGGAGGGACCTCGGGGGGGTGTCATGGCGCTATCCCCGG